AGATAGTTTTATGCATATGTTTTGACACACCCCCATAGGCGAAATGGGGGATAGCCAGAGCAAGCAATGGTCACAAGACCAGTCAAGAGAAGAAACAAAACACAGCTCAGGGTGGATCACAACGTCACCACACACTCTGAGCACAAGCAAACGGCCACAAGGCCAGTCCACATGCAGAGGTATATATGCAACAAGAACAGCACAGTGATCTCTATCTAGCAAGAGCAAGCATGCAGGTATATATATAGATCATAGTACAAGCAGAGACTACAGCAAGTGTGGAAACGTAGGCACAAGGCCCAACAAAGTACAAAAGCGCTGATGGTCACCAGACGGAAGTGCCTTGGTGAATATATCCGCAGTGTTGGCCCGAGTGGCCACGTGAGCAAGGCAAAGCTGACCCCGCTGCTGCAACTCTCGAGCCAGGAAGTAACGCAAAGCGATGTGCTTCGTTCTGTGCTCTAGTCTGTGCTCCTCACGGAAGGCAATGGCGGCCTTGTTGTCTACGTACAGAACTGGAGGAGAACGAGGCCGCTCTCCCAGGTCGGTCAGCAGGTAGGTGAGCCGGCGTAACTCCTGTGCAGCCATTGTTAGAAAGAAGAAGTGGTGAGACTAGAAACAAGTGAGAGTACAAATATGTGAAACCTAGAGTTGTGAACCCCCTATAGGCTAACCCACTGTAGCCTACAATGATATAACCTATATAACATTTGACACACCCCCATAGGCAAAGTGGGGGAGAACAAGGGGTGACAAGACCGGTCAAAGCAAAGCAAAGCAAAGCAAGCTCAGGGTGGATCTCAAGGATACCACACAAGTTCCGAGCACAAGCAAGTGGTCACAAGACCAGTTCACATGCAGGTTGATAATAGAACAAGAGGTACAATGATCACAACCTAGCAAGTGTAAGCATGCAGGTGTATATATATAGAGATCACAGTACAAGCAGGGTCAAGAAGTGAGCAAGTGAGGGAGAGTAGGCACAAGGCCTAGGACAGTACAGAAACGCTGATGATCACAAGGCTGAAGCGCCTTGGTGAACACATCAGCAGTGTTGGCCCGAGTGGCCACGTACGAGAGACGAAGCTGACCACGCTGCTGCAGCTCTCAAGCAAGGAAGTAGCGCAGAGCGATGTGCTTCGTTCTGTGCTCCAGTCTGTGCTCCTGACACAAGGCAAGGTCTGCCTTGTTGTCGACGTACAGCACTGGAGGAGAACGAGGCCGCTCTCCGAGGTCGGTCAGCTGGTAGGTGAGCCAGCGTAGCTCCTAGGCAGCCATGGCTGTGGCGTAGATATCAGCCTCACAACTGGAGCTGAGAACAGAAGAAGATCGTGTAGAACGCCAGGAAACAGAGCCAGAGCCAAGGCTGAAGGTGTAACCCTGAGACGACCACTGCGTAGCCTGGTCCTCAGCCCAAGAAGCGTCTGAGTGTCCAGTGAGGACAATGTCGCGCCGTCCTCCAAGCACAAGCCCCATGCCCGACGTACTGCACAAGTAGCGCAACACCCTCTTAGCGGCATCCATGTGCTCCTTCCGGTGACGGCCAGGAGCGACATAGCGTGCTAGGATGCTAAGAGGGTATGCAAGGTCAGGTCGAGTGCAGGTCATCAGGTACATGAGGCAGCCCACAAGCTCTGGATACGGGCCACTCGGCTCTACGGACTCATCCGAAGGCAGAGCTGAGAGCGAGTGACCGGTAGGCAGAGGAGTGGGCTGAGGCGAGGAGTACGTGAAGCGGAAGCGCTGAAGGACCTGCTGCACCATGTGTGACTGAGTCAAGGTGATGGTGCGCTGTGCTCTGTCCCGGGTGATCCGCAAGCCAAGATAGCTTGTCAGCTCACCCAGGTCTGTGCACGTGTGTCTCTTCTGCAGCTCCGACTTCACGTGGGCGAGTGCCTCAGTGACAGCAGTAGCAAAGACCAAGTCGTCGACGTACACGAGAACGTAGAACGGCGGCAGAGTGGTGTCGGTGCGTAGAAACAGCGACGGGTCAGCAGTAGAAGGAGCAAACCCAAGAGCCGCAAGCGTAGTCCTCAGTGTGTCGTGCCACTCACGGGGTGCCTGGCGGAGACCGTAGACTGGCCGCCGGAGGCTCCACTGGGTACCAGGAGGGAACGACCCAGTGAAGCCAGGTGGGCGGCGCAGCCAGTTCTCCTCGTGCAGGCTGCCCTGTAGGAACGCAGTGCTGAAGTCAAGAGAGTGGAGCTCGTAGTCACGCTGAGCAGCGACGTGCAGCAGAACCCGAAGAGTGGTCATCTTCGGGGTCGGGGAGAAGGTCTGGAAGAAGTCAACTCCCTCTCGCTGACTGAAGCCTCGAGCAACGTAACGCGCCTTGAAGACAGGCGGAGAACCCGGCGGCCGCTTCACCCTGAAAATCCACATGCCACTGACGATGTTCGCCCCAGGTGGGGGAACCTCGTCGACGTGGAGGGCGCTGACCTTGGGTGGCCGAAGACTTGGCGAAGTCGGCGGCCTAGTCCCGTAGTGGTCGACGAGGGGACGCCGACCAGGGAGGACGCCAACCTGACGGCACCGACCTTGTTGCCCAGTCGACCGTGTTACCTGGGGGACGGACTTCTGCGGAAACATGCGAAGGTCGCCGGGATGGTTCTGCGAGGCCGACCTCGGAAGTGGTATCCTGAGGTCGACGTGGCTGGTGGGCGCAGCGCTGGCGTGGAGTCGAATTGGGCGTCTGCGCTGTGCACATGACGAGGAAGAGTGCACCAACCAGCTGCACGCACCTGCGACGCAGGTGCATCGTTGTCCTGCGGGTGCAACGCTGTGCAGCCGACTTGCTACAGCGTTGGCACGCCAAGGACTTGCAACGTTGGCAAGCCGCGACTTTGCTCTGCTGGAGCGCGTCCTACCAAGTCGTGCTGGCATGCGGTCGACCGTGCTGCGCTGGCAGTCGACCAGCAGCTTTGCTAGGCCTGATGTAGTCTTGTCTTGCCAACTTCGTTGTACCATTGTTCTCGAATTCTCCTAGTGAAACTCTTGCCAATTCTCCCCGTGAACTAGCAAGTAGTGTGAAGCACTTGGAAACGACTAAGGAACGAACGAACGCAGAGATCCCTCCTACCCCGTGCCTAGCTTGTAGTCTAGCTCCTGTTGATAGAGTTATCTCCGCAGCCGTAGTACTGCTTTCAGTCTCAGCGCCATCTTTCCATGCATCGCGCATCCACCTCCTTTGCCACGCCTTGGCCCTCAGGCATCTCAGCTGCCCCCACCTCTTCTGCTGCCCCTCGCCTTTCCGCCGTATCCTCAACCTCTCCCCTGCTCGCCATGTACGCCCTGCAGGTGCCTGTGGACTTCCAAGAAGCCATCTCTGCGTCCATGGCTGTCTGCCACTGAGAGGAGTAGAGACCCTCCATCGCCTCTGCGTAGGAGCGTGGGGTCGGGATGTCTGGTGCATCCGGGTCTCCCTCAGGGGCAATCAGCACGGACACGAGATGAGGTAAAGATCTGCCTCAGCGTCTCCTCTTTCTCGCGCTTCAACGCCTCCTCCTTTATCACATCCGCGACAAAGCACTCAAACTCCTCCTGTCTGTCCTCAAGGACGTCCGTGCCAAGAGCACACTCACCCCCGACGGACGGAGGACAGACAGACTCAGACTCAGACTCAGCAACAAGGCTAGCGGCGTAGTCTAGACGACAGGCGGCAGCAAAGTCAACAAGCTCAGCGACGAGAGCAGACGCAGCAGAGGACTCAAAGGAAGGGCCAGTGACAACAGTGGCAAGGAGACGCGTGACAGTAGGACTGGCCGCACGAAGAGAGTCAGACTCCGGGTCAGCAAGAGCAGGAAGAGAGGACGCTGGTGGAGACGGCAGAGGGACACGCTGTGGAGCAGTGGAAGGACGCAGGGTCATATAGTGAGTGCCAAGGACAGGAGGAGGACGTTGACGTGGAGCACGACGACCAGTGCGGACAGCACGGACAGGCGACTTTGGACGCGACTCAGACGACTCGGGACGAGTCTCAGGCGACGGAGGACGAGACTCAGGCTCACAACGCTCCGTAAGACCGCCCGTCGGCTCAGCGTAAGGAGAAGGACCAGGCAGTGGAGAGGTTGGCTGTAACTGTGACTGCGACTGTACAGGCTGTGGACTCAGTAGGGGAGGAGGAGGACCAGGAGAGGGCGGGAGGCCAAGAACCTGCTCAAGGAGCGGAACGTAGTACGGCCGCGGCCGCTCAGCACCTCCAGCTCCAACCCCCTCAGCAGGCCCAGTCCCAGCAGCTCCAGTACCTCCAGAACTAGCACCTCCAGGACCAGCGGCTCCAACAGCTCCAGCACCAGCACCTCCAGCAGCGCCAGCAGCACCGGCACCAGCAGCACCTCCAGCAGCGCCAGCAGCACCGCCAGCAGCAGTAGCACCTCCAGCAGCTCCAGTAGCACCAGCACCAGGAGCACCTCCAGCAGCACCGCCAGCAGCAGCAGTACCTCCAGCAGCTCCAGCAGCACCAGCACCAGCAGCACCTCCAGCACCTCCAGCAGCACCGCCAGCAGCAGCAGCACCTCCAGCAGCGCCAGCAGCACCGCCAATTGCTCCAGCACCAGGGTCCGCGACACTAGGAGCGCCACTCCGGAGACTGCAGCGCCGAGCGTACCACTCTCGGAGCCGCTGAGGAGAGGGCAGCTCCCGCCTAGGAGGGGAAGCACGAGCACCAGCTCCAGCAGCACTCCTAGCTCCAGAAGTACCCCTCCTGAGGCTGCAGTACTGTAAGTACCACTCACGTAGCTGCTGTGAAGAAAGAGCTCCTCCAGGTGTAGCACGCTCAGGCTCAGCACCCTCAGGCTCAGTACCCTCACACGTAGCACCCCCAGGCTCAGCACCCCCAGACTCAGCACTCGCAGGCTCCGCACCCCCAGGCTCAGCACCCCCAGACTCCGCAACCCCAGGCTCCGCACCCCCAGGCTCCGCACCCCCAGGCTCCGCACGCTCAGGCTCAGCACCCCTAGCAGGACGAGAGTCGACAGCTACCTCGACAGGCTCAACTGGGTCTACCTGGGACACACCTGAGGGAGCGGCACCCTGAGGGGGGAGGGGGTCTACCACAGCAGCACCTGGCGCGAGGAAAAGAGGCGGGGGGGGGGAGCGGGGCAGTGCGGTAGGGGAAGAGGCGGTAGTAGGGCACGGACTCGTCAAAAGTGACGTCCTGAGAGGGCAGGACACGGCGCGAGGTGGCGTGGTAAAACTGCCAACCAGACGCGTCCGGGACAAAGCCAAGGAAGACACAAGGAACAGCGCGGGAGGAGAGCTTGTCCGCGAACGTATCGCGAACAAAAGTTCGAGATCCCCAGACCCGAAAACGCGACGCATCGCCAACCTCTCCCGTCCAACGCAGTGTCGGTGAAGTCTCCGGCAAGGAGACACGGGGCCAGAGGTTGAGCTGATGCGCAGCGTATCGGACCGCAAACGGCCACAGAAAGTGGGGGGCAGCCGCATGGATCAAGGAGGTACGAGCGACCTCCATGACCAAGCCAATGCGGCGCTCAGCAACCCCATTCTGCTGTGGAGAGGCCGGAAGCGTGAACGACTGGCGGATGCCGTGCTCCGCACAGTAGGCTGCCAAGAGGTCGGAGGAGAACTCACCACCTCTGTCAGAGTGCAGACGCAGGACAGGAAAGTCCGAGTGGAAACGCTCGCTGAGCTGGAGACGAGAAGCGCGGATCCAAGGGATCAAAACATCAGGGACCTCACCCTTGGTGCGCAAGAGGAAGACCGTGGTGTAGCGCAAGTAGTCGTCAACAACGATCAGGAAGTACCTCTCCTGACCCTGGCCACGGACGCGGGCTGGGCCCCACACGTCCATGTGGAGCGTCTGCAAGGGAGCAGTCGTCGGGGGAAACGAGGAGGTGTGAGGAGCGGCGCGCTGCCGCCCCTCGACACAGGGAAGAAAGGTAGGAGCAGGCGAGGGTGGGAGGGGAGGGAGAACCCTGGGAAGACCAGAGACAAGGTACCGTTTGTGCATGCCACGAAGGCGCTGCACTGACGGGTGACCAAGGCGGTGGTGCCAGAGGATGGTCTCGTGCGCTAGAGAGCGACACGAGCAGGGGGCCGACAGCTGACCTGACGCAGACGCAGACGCAGCTACCTGAGGGGACTCAGTGGTCAGTGTGTACAGGTCCGACCCCGGCTGCCGAGTGAAGGTAGCCAGGTGACGACCCGTCCGAGCACACGTGCAGTGTGTCACGCGCTCGTAGGCAGGGGTGAACTGGTGGACACCCCCGTCCTGGAGCGCACAACCCGCCACCAAGTTCGTAGAGAACGAGGGGAGGTGGAGACCTGACAGTGTGCCCGACGGGACCGCAGGACAAGGAAGGACAGTGGAGGAGGTCGCAATGACCGGACCCCCAGAGGGGTCAGCGAGGGAGACTGCAACTGGCCGAGCAAGCTGCTCAAGGGCAGTGCGGTCACGAAAGAAACAGCGAGAAGCACCTGAGTCCAGTGTGAAGGTGTGCAGTGCCGCAGTAGACTCAGTACCAGGGGGCGCAGACTCACTAGCACCTAGAGCAGCAGCCTCACCAGCACCTGGGGCAACAGACGCACTAGCACCTAGAGCGGCAGCCTCACTGGTCCGAATGCCCGGGTCGGGCGGAACACGCAGGTACTGAGCACCCTCTCCACTAGTAGACAACACATACATGGCAGTGAGAATAGCATCAAAGTCTAGAGCATAGATATCAATGTTTTTCTTCATCAGATCAGCCCAGCGGGGCAGCTCAGTGGCAGCAGGGAACTGAGTACGCCAAGCGTCGTCGAGGCGGGAGAAGCAGCGCTGCGTGGTGTGCGCCCTCCCACACGTCTGGCCAGTGCGGTCACCAGTGCGGATGACATACGTGCAGCTAAGGCCGCCCCCCCCCCCCCCCCGTGCTGAGAGTACCACTCACGAAGCTCCTGGGGCGACGGAGTGTGCTGCTGGCTCTGGCCACTGCCAGCGCCTCCACGGCCACCACCGCCGCCGCCACCACCTCGACCACCGCCCCTGCCGCCGCCGCGTCCACCGCCGCCCCCACCACCGCCCCCACCCCGGCCGCCTCCTCCGCCGCTGCCTCCACCACCCCCACCGCTGCCACTAGCCCCTCCAGCCCCGCCACCGCCCCCACCGCCTCCACCGCCCCCACCACCGCCTCCCCCGCCGTCACCTCCACCTCCCTTGCCCCCTTTGCCCTTGCCGCTGCGGCGCCAGCTCGGAGCGGACGCAGTCCCGACCTGCTCAGTACCAACGAGGTCGACAGCAGCAGCAGAGGCGACAGAGGGGAGAAGGGGGGAAGGGGAACACCCCTCGAAGAACGGGGTGCGGGGGTCGCCACGAGAGGCAGCTACAGCGACTATGCTAGTCTCAGCTGCAAGCAGTTCCTTCTCGAGCAGGTCAGCGGTGAGCTCAGTGGGGCAGCGAGCGAGGAAGTGGTCCCTGACCGCACGAAGAGAGTCAGGGAGACGGGTGACCAGGTGGTAGAGAGTGAGCCAGAGCGGGGGGGGGTGGGTTGCAAGAAACTCAGCGGGCATAGCGGCACGGAAGCGGGCCTCACTAGTGCGGAGGTGCGTGATGAGGTCAGCGACTGTGGAGAAAGCTGACAGGTCTGGGAACAGGTAAGGGAGCGAGAGACGGCCTAGCGCAGCAGAGGCAGGTGAGGAGTAGCGTGCAACTACAGCAGTGTACAATGCCTGCGCAGTTTTGTGCTAGCCAAAGTGCTCGCGCTCATCTACCGGCAGGGAGTTGCGAATAGCGAAGCGAGCGTGGGCGTCACGAGTCTGCCACTGTGAGCGGGCAGTACTGTCAGCAGTAGCAGCAGGGGCAGCAGCATGGCCTAGCGCGTGATCGTACAGTGATATATCCTCCTTGGCAGTGAGCTGGAGGAATAGGTGCAAGTCATCGAGCCAGATCTCAAACTTCAATGGGCGGCCCTCAGCATCGAAAGCTAGCACAGCAGGACTAGCCATAGTTGCAGTGGCAGTAGTAGTAGTAACTGCAGTAGCAGTAGCAGTAGCAGTAGTAGTTGTAGCAGTTGCAGTAACAGTGGCAGCTGAAGCAGTAGTACGGCAGGAACAGTAGGGCGGCGCGGCTCGGTTCGGGCGGCGCGGCTCGGTTTGGGCGGCGCGGTTCGGCTCGGGCTGGGCTACGGGGCGGTGCGCGACGGAGGGCATGCACACGGGCGGCTGTAGCGGGCGGGCCGTGGCCTTGCGTGGGCCTGACTTGCGCGCGAGGCGGCCTAGAGGGCGACGGCGCGGCCTACGGGCTGAGCTGCCGGTCGCTAGCGAGCTACGAGCGGCCAGGAGGGCCCTTCGACGGGCGGCTTGTCAGAATCCCAACCACTAGACCATTGGGATAAAAGGGCTTGTTAAGTAGCGGGTCAGTGCGCCCATAACCCCCCAGGCCAACATGCCTGTAACCCTTCCCTAGGATCAATCGGGGATCACCAATGGACCTCTGACACCCCCCCGCACTGGGATGCCCGAAGTGCACACACTGGGATTCGAACCCGAGACCTTCGCTCTGATACCATGTTACGATAAGAATGAATTGATAGAAAATGTGAAGTACAACCCTAGATATAGCAAACCCTAATCATGCAAGTAAGTAGAAACGTAACACCTAGACTAACCTAAACAACACATATAAAATATATGTTGACACACCCCCATAGTCTAGGTGACGGAAGTCCTGTAGAAACAAGAGCAAGCAACGGTCACAAGACCAGTCTACAAGAACAAGACAAATCTCAGGGTGGAGCTCAAAGTCACCACACACTCCGAGAGCAAGCAAGGGGCCACAAAGCCAACCCACATGCAGGTATATAGCAAATATAAAGAGATGCAAGAGTACAAGACATGCAGAACAAGGCATCTCTAAGCAAGCAAGTGAGGACGGGCAGGCACAAGGCCAAGCTGGGTGCAGAAACGCTGGTGGTCACAAGGCGGCAACGCCTTGGTGAAGATATCTGCCGTGTTTGCCTCAGAGACCACACGTCGAACGAGTGCCTGTCCACGCTGCTGCAACTCACGCAGAAGGAAGTAACGAAGCTGGATGTGCTTCGCCTTCCCAACCAGTCGGGGCTCCTCACACAACAGGACAGCAGACCTGTTGTCGGCGAACAAGACTGGGGGAGAGCGAGGCCGCTCACCAAGGTCGGTGAGAAGGAAAGACAGCCAGCGAAGCTCCTGAGCGGCCATGGCCGCAGCGTACACCTCTGCCTCACAGCTGGAACCGGCGACAGACGACGCCCGAGTCGACCGCCACGAAACAGCACCTGCCCCGAGGCTAAAGGAGTACCCCTGTGTAGACCGACGCGTCTCCGCGTCGTCGGCCCACGACGAGTCCGAGTAACCTGTGAGTGTAACTGGCTGCTTCCCTCCAAGGACAAGTCCCATGCCTGATGTACTCGCCACATACTTCACCACCCTCTTAGCAGCGTACCAGTGGGAAGGTCGGTGTCTCCCAGGCGCAACAAAGCGCGCAAGGACGCTAAGAGGGTAAGCTAGGTCTGGGCGATTACAGGTCATCAGGTACATGAGACAACCCACCAGCTCAGGATATGGACCACTGGACTCAAATGACTCGTCCGAAGGTGGAGCCGTGAGCCCATGATCCACACCAAGAGGGGTGATCTGTACCTTGGAGAACGGGAAGCGAAACCGCGTGAGGATCTGCTCGACCATATGCGACTGAGTCAGCGTAATGGTGCGAGCTGCCCTGTCACTGGTGATCTGCAGGCCAAGGTAGTGCTGCAGCTCACCAAGGTGAGTGCAAGTGTGTCTCCTCTGCAGTTCCTCCTTCACGGAGGCCAGCGCGCGTCGGTCGGGAGTGGCGAACACTAGGTCGTCGACGTAGACCAGGACAAAGAACGGGGTCGAGCCACGGCGAACGAACAGTGACGGGTCAGCAGACGACGGAAAGAAGTCAAGAGCTGCAAGGGTCGAGCGAAGTGTGTCGTGCCACTCACGTGGGGCCTGACGCAGGCCGTAGACTGGTCGACGCAGCTGCCACTGGGTCCCAGGTGGGAAAGAGCCAGTGAAGCCAGGCGGGCGACGCAGCCAGATCTGCTCGTGCAGGCTCCCCTGAAGGAACGCGGTGGAAAAGTCCAAGGAGTGCAACTCGTAGTCGCGCTGGGCTGCAATATGCAGCAACACCCGAAGAGTACTCATCTTCGGGGTGGGAGCGAAGGTCTGGAAGAAGTCCACCCCCTCTCGCTGACTGAAGCCTCTCGCAACATCGCGTGCCTTGAACACAGGTGGTGATCCAGGCGGCCGCTTCACCTTGTAGAGCCATCGGCCACTGACGACATTCGTCCCAAGTGGTGGGACTGCGTCGACGTAAGTGCCTGTGGACCTATAAGATGCCATCTCTGCCTCCTCAGCTGCTATCCAGTACGAAGCCCAGGGTCCCGAGACCGCCTCGGCGTGAGTGCGAGGGATCGGGATGTCAAGGGCGTCTGGATCCCCCTCAGGGGCAAGCAGCATGGCGCAGAGATGAGGAACAGCGGCCGCAAGAAAACCAAGCTCGAACTGCCTGTCCTCTACGACCTCCAGGGGAAAGACAGGAGCACCCCCAGAGGACGGAGAACGTGCAGGGCCACTCACCAAGTGAGCGGCGTAGTCAAGGCGGTGGGAAGAGGCAAAGCCAGAGACAGTGGTAACAAGTGCTGAGACAGACGACAGAGGTGCAGTCGGGTGAGTGACCAACGCGGACAAAACACGGGAGACGACAGGACGGGAGGCACGGAGGTAGTCGGACAACGGGTCATGAAGCACAGTGAGGGACGACTCAGGGGGCTGTGGAAGGACAGGAGGAGGTGGAACACGAGAGCGGAGAACAAGGTGAAACGGACCGTCTGCACGGTAACGGGACCGACGGGGCTGTGGAGACACAGCACGACTGAGGGGAGGACGACGAGTCCACTGGGAGGAGGAAAGGGACTCAACTGGTGGAACAGGAGGGGACGACAAGGGACCACGAACAAAGCGTGCAGGTGCTGGGTCGGGGAGGTCGCGTAGTCGCAGTCGCTGCTGCTCCGCCTCCTCTGGCGTCTGCTGCGACGGTACCGGCCCCTGCTGCTGCTCCTGTGGCTCCGCCTCTGCCCTCTCCTGCTGCGGCTGAAGCTGTACCCGCTGCTGCGACCGGGACTCCTGCGCTACCCTCTCCTGCTGCTGCCGTGACTCCTCCTCTACTCTCTCCTGCTGCGTCTGGAACTGCACCTGCTGCTGCGGGTGGGACTCCTGCTCTACCCTCTCCTGGTGCGGCCGTGACTGCTCCTCTACTCTCTCCTGCTGTGTCTGTAACTGCACCTGCTGCTGCGGGCGGGACTCCTGCTCTACCCTCTCGTGCTGCTGCTTTGACTCCTCCTCTACTCTCTCCTGCTGCTGCTGCTGCTGCTGCTGTGCCCTCTCAAATCGCTCACGCTCCTCCCTCTCCAACCGGAGGAGACGCTGCTCACGGGTCAGGAAACGTACAGTGCGCGGTGTAGGCGCCACAGTGCCAGTGCCTCCAGCTCCGGCACCCCCAGAACCAGCACCTCCACCACCGACACCCCCGGGGCCTCCAGTACCTCCCGCAGGAACACCCCCAGGCTCCGCAACAACCGACCGCAGAGAAGAAGGAGGAGGAAACTGCGGGACGGACGGGAAGCCAGGGGGTGAGGCAGGGCGAGGCCGCCGAGTCGAGGCTGCCGTGTCCTCCACAGGAGTGACCTCCACGCCCACAACCCCTGCACCCCCAGAGCCGACACCACCAGCTCCTGCAGCCCCAGTACCCTCACCCTCCGCAACTGCACCTCCCGCACCCCCAGACACGACAGGGACTGGACGCTGCGGGGGGGAAGACTACGGAGTGACGTGCGACACATCTGACGGGGCAGGACGCGAAGGGGGGGGGGCTACCAGGACGGCTAGCGGGCGGCGCGTGGCAGCGTGGGCGGCGAACAGGCGGCGCGCGCGCAGAAACGGCCGCGCGCGGGCTGCTAGGGGGCGACGCACGCGAAAAAAAGGGCCGCGTGCGGCTCTAGTGAGCTGCGCACGGGCAGTAGGAGACAGCGAGGCGCACGAGGGCGCACTAGGAGATGAAGGCGCTCGAGGGCGCTTCTAACGGAACGGTGGGCCCTAAGGTGAGCGATCCTAGGTCTAAACCTACGCTCTTAATACCATGTTAGAAAGAAGAAGTGGTGAGACTAGAAACAAGTGAGAGTACAAATATGTGAAACCTAGAGTTGTGAACCCCCTATAGGCTAACCCACTGTAGCCTACAATGATATAACCTATATAACATTTGACAGCCATGGCTGTGGCGTAGATCTCAGCCTCACAACTAGAGCTGAGAACAGAAGACGAGCGTGTAGAACGCCAGGAAACTGAACCAGAGCCAAGGCTGAAGGTGTAACCCTGTGACGACCGCTGCGAGCCAGGTCGTCAACCCAAGAAGCGTCCGAGTGCCCAGTGAGGACAACTGGGCTCCGCCCTCCAAGCACGAGCCCCATGCCCGATGTACTGCACAAGTAGCGCAGTACCCTCTTCGCAGCATCCATGTGCTCCTTTCGGTGCCTACCAGGAGCCACGTAGCGGGCCAGAAGGCCAAGAGGGTACGCAAGGTCAGGTCGAGTGCAGGTCATCAGGTACATGAGGCAGCCCACTAGCTCTAGGTACGGGCCACTCGGCTCTACGGACTCGTCCGAAGGTGGAGCTGAGAGCGAGTGGCCTGTAGCCAAAGGAGTGCGCTGTGGCGAGGACCAGGTGAAGCCGAAGCGCTGAAGGACCTGCTGCACCATGTGTGACTGAGTCAGTGTGATGGTGCGGCGTGCTCTGTCCCGGGTGTTCTGCAAGCCAAGGTAGCTGCGCAGTTCACCCAGGTCTGTGCACGTGTGTCTCTTCTGCATCTCCGACTTCACCAGGGCGAGAGCCTCAGTGTCAGCAGTGGCAAAGACCAAGTCGTCGACGTACACGAGGATGTAGAA